GAATGAAGATCGAACCATCAGTCGTACAAGTTCGTGTAACGAATTTTGATGGACTTGCACAGGAAGGTGCGCTTAGAAAACATGGTAACCTATTCAATGGTACGTCTAAACGCGCGTTAGTTGTAGTTCCAAGCGGATCTGGTAAAACTAATGTAATGATCAGTTTGTTAACACATCCTAATGGATTGAGATTTGAGAACGTTTATCTGTACTGCAAGTCGCTGTACCAACCCAAGTACAAATATTTACAAGAACTACTAACACCGCTTCGCGAAATATGGTATTATGAATACAGTGAAGATGCAAACATTGCGACACCAGAAAACATTAAACCAAACTCCGTAATAATTTTTGACGACGTTTCATCATGTAATCAGGATATAATAAGACAATATTTCAGTTTTGGACGACATCGTAATACAGACTGTTTCTATCTTTGTCAAACGTATACTGCCGCACCCAAACATAATTTAAGGGATAACATAAACCTACTCATACTATTTCCTCAAGACAATTTGAATCTGAAACATATCTATGATGATCATATCAGCCTAGACATGTCATTCAACGAATTTAAAAGCTTGTACAGTTTGTGTTGGCAAGAGCCACATAGCTTTGTAGTGGTTGATAAAGATTCTCCAAGACAGGGAGGCAGGTATAGAAAGTGTTTTAGCAGCAACATAAATTTGTAACAGTATATATATATATATATATATATATATAACTATACTCTGTGCAAATCTTAGGGTAGTACTTATATAACATCGAAGGTAGACAGATGGATCCAAAACTGGCCAAAGAACTAGTCAAAACCAGGAAAGCGGTTAAACAAAAGTATCTCACACTTAAATCAGATATTGCAGCAACGGAAAGGGAATTACAGCAACAGTTTAAGCCGATCTCAGAACCGCTGCAAAAACTCTTATCAAAAGTTGAAGCACCTAAACAAGAATTGCAGATCAAAGAAGAACAATCTACACCCCCATCAGTGACATCCACACCGAAGAAACGACAATCATTCAATAAACAATTATCAGAAAATGTATACCAACGATATTTACCACCTGTCAACTACAGCTTTCTCGAGGATACATATTCAAACCTTCCGGAGCCAAATCGCAGTCAAGATGTATCTACCGTTGAAGAATTTACTCCAAATGCTACGGTGTTGGAGGCAGAAAACCAGCAAATCAATGAAAGCGTGGCTCGAGTGGCGCAAGAATTCCACCAACTAATTGATACACCTGCATATTAAGAGTATCTTGAAGGTTTTCACCCAGTACCTCGAAAATATGTTGATAAGTCAATTCGTGGGAACGAGCCCGAGTTTGATCGTTATTATGGATTAACATATGATATTGTTTCTGACAAGTTTCAACTCGGTAAAAGTCCGGTTACGCTAGACGGAGCAAATATCGTGGTGGAAAATGTAACATATCCTGGCACACCTGGATTATATGAACTGCTTTTCAAAAAAGAACCAATTGGTTATAAGCAGAGTGATCTAGATCAGTATATGGATATTCTAAGTCGCACAAATGCATATCGCAGAAATTTTGAACCTAATACTCAAATACAGGGTAGTACGTCCTACAAATATCTAAATATAATTCGACCATACTTACATCAGCAGCAGGGCATACTCAGATCCGGCTCCTTTGAGAAACCTCCACCTCCTAAGAGTCAGTTACGATGAACACACTCATTCAAACATACAGGTCAAGGAATGCTCCACTTATCAAATAAACCAATCGACTACATCTATTTTGATGATCCAAATGAATTGGTTGCTCGTTTACGTCTGTTGTTAGCTTCACAGTATGCTGGTAATAATGGACATCGTAACGAGATTATGTCTATAATTGAGGAGTTACGTGAATAAAAAATTATAAAATGAGTTTGTAACGTAAAATTACTTTATTTACATTGCTGCAGTTGTAGGATCAAGATGCCGATTGATAAATTTGGAAGACATATGCTCCGCTCAAAGAAGACGGACACTGCTGCAATCTTCAGTACTTTTCTAAGATCCACCTATCCAGCGTATGTGTGGTACCCATTTATTCCTCCACATCCAGCGAGCAGTTTTACACATTTAACGACAATAGCAAGGACTATATCGTTCCAGTGACTGGGATAGTTGATAGTATAAAAGTTCGCCAAAAGTAAGAGTGACAATTGGTTTAACCGACAACAACCTCTCACGAAAGGTGATATTCTCCATTTCTTCACATCTAAAGAACCCAGACCACGAGCAGCTTATAGCAAATATTGTAATGCGCTGTCCATTGATACAACAATGATCGACTTTAGAAAGCAGGTTGTTGAAGATCTTCATAAGCCAGCTCCCCGAAATTATAGACGTCGGCGCGTTATTGTGAAGGGGGTTAACGATCTCTTGCAGGCAGATTTGGTAGAAATGCTTCCGTATCAGAAAGTGAACAAAGGATTCCGAATATTTTAATTGTCATCAACGTTTTTAGTAAATTTGTGTGGGCAGAACCAGTCAAACGAAAAACCGGAAAAGATGTTACAACTGCAATGAGGGCGATTCTGTCGCACATGCAGTCAATTCCAAAAAATTTACAAACAGACTTGGGTAAAAAATTCTACAATAGTGATTTAAGTTGTTGGAAGAGTACAAAATTAATCATTACAGCACGTACTCATCGACCAAAGCAAGTGTGGTTGAAAGGGTGAATCGGACTTTAAAGAATCGCATGTGGAAGCAGTTCAGCCTTCAGGGATCATACAAATGGCTAGATATCCTATCGTCAGTCGTTGACGGGTATAATAACACCAAACATAGTACAATTGGAATCAAACCCAAAGACGTAAAAAACGTACAGAAAAAAGATTATTGAATACGGTTTATACACATTTGAAAACGGTAGATCCAAAGGGTGTAAAATATCAAACTGGGGATCATGTCCGCATAAGCAAACATAGAACAGCATTTGCTAAAGGATACACTCCTAATTGGTCCAATGAAATTTTTACAATTCGTAAAGTACAGTATACCAATCCTACATCATACTTATTGGCAGATTGGCGTGGTGACGAGATACTAGGTGGATTTTATGCTGAAGAGCTTCAAAAAGTCAAGTATCCAAACATCGATCTTGTGGAGAAAGTGGTTCGACGTAAAGGCAGTAAAGTGCTAGTCAAGTACTTAGGACTGGATAGCAGCTATAATTCGTGGATTAACAAAAGTGATTTACTTGTATGATAAATGTACCTCTATTTTGTCTAATGATTTCTATAGCACACTTTTTTTTCAATAAAACACTCTACGTAATATAAGATTTTTATTACAAATATACTGAGAATAGTTAGGATAAGTAATTTGAATAAAAGTTCAGTGTTGGAGCCTTGTTGAATTCTTTCAAGTTTGGATATTGGTATGCCAGCTCCATAGCAGTCCTGATGTTCTCCGAATGCGGCAAATCAGAGATGTGTTGCATAATGAAGTCTCGCACATCGATGTGCTTGGTTTGTACATCCTGGAACTCCTGAGTTTTCAACATATTCATCGTATAGGCAATCAGCGGGGCTAATTGAAATAACTTCAATACGGTCTCTTTACCCAAATAAACTACATTACTCCACCGATCTGCAATTTTGATGGTTTGATAATCTGGAAATCTATCAAAGCTGATACAGAAGGAGTTACCTTGGATCGGATGGAAAATATCATCATTGAAGAAAAAATTGGTTATAATGCCTTCTTGACTCGATACTTCATACCAGTCTTCTTCATTTAACGTAACGCCCTCGGTTTTTAAACCCTTGATATTGAGTACAGGTTGGAAGCTCCACTGATATGCTCGCCCAATAGTAATCCATTTTGATTTAGATGGATTTAGATGATAGCGTTGCTCCTGGATGACAATTAACGGTGGCTGAGCTACACCACTTTGTACAGATCATACCCCTTTGTCGTTCTGCACATTTGCAACGTGTTTGACACCACCGGCACTACTCATGTTGTAACACTATGTGAAATGTAGAAGACTGGTATGTGATGCTGAGTAGCTACTTTTATACAGTGTCGATACTCCCTCCACTCACAAACACTCCCCTCTCAAAAATTGGCGCAGGTGCAATGGAAAATGATACTACCATTCATGGAGATACATTTATTTATGATATATTTCTGTCATACAACACAGCAAGAATTATTGCGTTTTGGATAAACCGCATAAGACACTCAAACATGCAACATAATCTTCAAATTTGGTGGATGGCCATTTCACACCACATGGTCCAGAACTCCATCCTAGTGACTTATCTCCAATGTTACCTTTAGCTACGTTTTTCTTTAACCATTTAAATACAGTATAATGTCTTATCTTATTTTCTATATCAAATACAAATTTAATATCATGCTGCTGTATCACATCGATTAGACTCTTCAGTGATGCACAATCAGCCAGATATGCAATTTTACATATGGTTTCATCGATATGGGATACAGTGTTTTTTATCTCTTAGTAATATTTTCTACAGGATGTGGTTTATCTACATCTTCATAGTTACTGTCAGATAACAACTTACAGAAATAGTATTGTTCATATGCTGATGGTGTGGAGTGCATGTTCGTCAGCAGGTCTCCAAATTCTTTGATGCTTAAAACCTCACAACCTGTATCCTTTAGACTTTGCAGCGTTTCCTGTACCACCCAGTCAAGATATTTCTTTCTTGTTATTACACTGGAAAGCACATCGGGGGTAGTAACTATCTGCATTTGCAATCCAGTTGAATACTTCGTCGGTACTATAATTTCCACCAGTACAAAACTCAGCACTGGAAATTCTCGTTTTTCTGGATTTTGAGACACAAACTGTCGGAGATGTTTTTTCAACACCTCTTCAGTTACATGACATAATTGCATGAACAGTGAATAGTATGTCTTGGTACTAATCTTTAAAACTGAAGAAGGTGAGTGGGTGAAGCATATATTTATATTCTTGTCCCCACCACAAAGCTCAAATTTCTGATCATTTCATCTGATCACTAGTCAACTCACTGGCTTCGTTCATTAAGCGCAGCAAGAGTTCCAACCGCTCTCCGTCCGACATTTTATGAAAGGTGATATCTTGATGACCCCAAGCTAATGTCTTTGTTGAGTTTGGTATCAAGAAACGTTTATCATCCATACTGGTCAATGTCACTTTTCTTATATAATTTGTGTATATATTGTGCGACTCCGATTTAAATACATAAATCGTACAGTACACATATGTCCGTTTCTCCTCAACAATATCTTTATAATGTAACAAATGTAATTGATGTTTCACACTCGCCTTAGATGTACCTTTAGCTCGTTTAGCCACTTGATCTACAGCATCGATACAGTATGCTGTGGGACCTGTACCATAAAAGGCAGACAGTACCTTGCCACCATATTCGTCTTTCATCTTACCCAACTCTGACGCTGTTCGAGGCATGTTATGTGGGTTGTCAGCATCATAATTGGATGTGTCAAAGTAATGCACGTGTGATTTCATGTCTTCATAGAAATTATCGGTTTCAACATGTACTATTAACGAATCAGTGTCCGTGTATGCTAAAGACACCTTATTACTATATTGGTGCTTCAGAAAGTTATAGAAAAAGTCATATATTACCGCTTTTGAGACATCTAAAATACAAAATCCAACATATGTGGGACGGCAATAATCAATCATTGTTTTTTCCATTTGAATAGCTACTAAGTTTTCAGAAAATATACTGTGTTCTTTAAAAGTTGGTTTACTAATATAATTTTCAGCACCTATTTTGTGTTTCGATTTTTCAAATTGAGTCGCTAATTTGATATTGACTCTGTTCTCTATGTTTTCAATCGTTTTGCCAAATATACAATTGATCATTGGTTTGGACAAATCTCTTTCAAACGGATTCAGTGCTGCATTTCTAAGTACCGTGTTTAACAGTATATAGGACTTTAACCACGCTGCTTGTGTGAATTTGATACCTCTATGAATTTTCGTTAAGATAATACCATGTTTCAAACATTGTTTTAGATTACGATAATGGATAATGTAGCGCTCTTTGTTGTGTAAATTTGGAATTAATTTTGAGCTTTGACTGTTGGGTGGTTTAAAATTTTCTGGACAAAATGGTAAATCATTGAAATAATCATGAAGCTCATTCGGTATTGTTAAATCAACTTCTAATGCATATCCAATATCCGATGTATCTGAAATTTGTGTAATGTTTCTTGAATCCTATCCATCTCATGTTGCGTCAACCAAGCAAAATGACCCGTCGGTGGGTACAGCTGCATAGTATATCCATATAAGTTCGGCACATCAAGGTACATTAAGTACGATGATGCCTTTGATGGATCGTAATGAGGTAAACATTTATTGTTCGCCTCGACTTTCCGTGAGGTACATGTGCTGACTCCTCCACGAATCCCCTTTTTAAAAAAATGTACCATATCCACATCTGTAAGCAGCTCTAACTCTACTTTAGTATATGGTAGCATTGCATCCCAACTCAACCCAGGAGCTGTAAAATAGTGAGCTGGATCCAGCTTGTACGTTTTTAAACACAAATCTCTAAAATTTTCAAAGATATCTGTTAAAAGAAGAACATCCGAAGTCAAGTGAAAGTCCGAGTATTCCCCAAATTTTTACACCCCATTACTTCCCAACATGATGTGCCCGCTCATAATCCTCGTCTGCAATGTGTTCATCACGTATTTCGTCATAAAAGTCTTGCTGGGATGGTAAACATGTTTTATTGTATTTATCAAATGTTTTAAGATATGTATAGGGAAATATACCTTTACATCTCATGTAGGAGAATCTTTCGTCCTCGGGAAACACTTTTCGTACTGTCCGACATTGCTCTGCACTTAAAAAGGATGCCAATGTTTCTAATTTTGACGACAGAAAACTGATATGAAATCGACAAATCTCATTTGCAAAATACGGTTTTTTGTTTTCCCTCTGGGAATGTACGTGTCTACCGGTACTAATTTTGTAAATGACACATATCTTTCAAAAGATTGTGGAATCACTTTAATTTGTTCTTGATTCATAGCTAAGTGTTTTATGAATAGATTGAGCATCATAGTTCTTCAGATTGTGGAAAAATATTGGAATATAGTTCGGAGTCTTATAATTGAGATTGCATTTACTATGCGCCGCAACCACGATATTTCCCTGTGAAATGACAGCGATCCCTAACTTTTATATTGTATTGGTGAATGGTTGTTCACAAATGAACACATGACTCTGCTTTATTAAACGAAGCTTTATCGTACGTAGTCATTTTCATTTCTACATTTTGTGTTAAATATTGATAATATATTAATTTAAGATCAGCCTCTAATCGAGCAACAAAATTTTTGCTGCATCCTCACCCCTATATAGTGGCCAATTTGGATAGTGAATCATTAAATGAGCATTTGATGTAATAAGCAAATGAGGATGGTTTATGTTCATACTTTCTGATGGTACTTTACATCCTCTGAATCGCTTGAGTCATTTCTATCGGAGCTAGAATGCATTCAAAGTCGGTATAAACGCAAAATGGTAGCCTTAATGTTTGGTGATGCTGTTCACATTTAGTATATTATCCCATTACCGTGTTCCAAGTCGATTAACTCTCGTTTCCAATTTGGAACCTTAACTGAATATATTTGCAATAGGTTGCATGTGAATTCTAATTTTTCTGTTGAGGCCAAAGTATTGTAAAAACCCTCACAAAAGTGCTTTACCTATCGTATTCCGCGACAACTGGACTTGAAACAAGTCTTGAAAAGTTGGTAATAAGCAGTACTGATGGTTCCTTCTGAATCATCAATAAGTAATAAGTTTAGATGAGTATGTTGTTTTTTGCGCGGTGTAGTTGTAACGGTCCCAGCACCTGATATTTAGGCTTCCCATCAATGAATTCCTTTTCTAATCCATAAACGTTGCTTGATATGTTATCACGCTTTCACCTTCTGATATTGTACTTGAGAGGCGACTGGAAATGTCATTCCAGCAAAGTTAGCCCGGAACATTCGAAAATGTAGATATGACTTTGTTAGTGATGATCGACCTTTGGTTTACCATACCAGCTACAATTGACCATGCAAAGCAGTACTCATCGTTATTACGTATATTGAGTACTGCTTTTTTGTTCCTAATTTCCTTTGGAAGCGGCAAATATGATGCTGCTCTCAAAGGATTATATTTATTAATATTAATTCTAAATATAAAGTCTTTCTAACACCCACCCTGAGTCTTTTCTGCAAAATCTTCAGATTTTTGCTCTATTTTACTTTCCAAATCATGATAGATTGCTTTTAAATTTGATGATTGTGTTATGAATTACATTGTTTGTATTGTGGGACTTCACCTCTCGTCGGCTTTTTAGCTGGTAAGATATATAAACCAAAAAGTTCCATATTTATTTTGAGCGTTGTTTGCTTATGCAATTCATTTTCAATCACGTTTATGGAGTCATGTTCAAGATTATTCATATATTCAGTAACGTTCACGTGTCTATACTGGCGGTTATTTGATAACTGACTAATTCTACCACCCCGAAATGCACTTCGACATACTGACACATTATTGTGTAAAGGTGTCCAAGATGTGCCTTATGTTTGATGCTTTTCAGATGTGCTGCATGTGCATTCCTCGGTCCTCACAGTTGCAACTATCACAGCGAATTGTTCTGCTTTCCGCACTCGCTTGTGAGTCTGTTACTGGTGGTTGGACTCATTCGACTCGGTCCCGGTATTGCAACGTGGCTGTTGAAGGAATCCAGTCGTCTGGTTATTGAGTCCTGTGGTGGCTGGTTGATGTAGCTGGAATAAATAAGTTCATAAATATAAGTATTTAATTTGGCTTAGTTGTTTGTAACTTTACCTTCTACACGTTGTTGTTCGGGTGGACTTTCTCGCTTGTGCAGACCTCTCTACCATGTCGCAGTAAACCTTTTCGTGCCGAGAATTTTTGCCGGCATCGAGGACATTCCCACTGTCTGCAGTGCTGCGTGGAGCGGTTGCATTACATGGACGCTTGGATGCGGCTCCTCATCTGGCTGCACCTCGCTCTACAGTGTCCTCAACAAACTTTTCCTCACGCGAAGGTCCTTTGGCATTTTGGGACATTGGAACATTGTTGTGAGGCGTGCACGTATCTACTGTGTTTCTCACACATAAATCATTTATATATATAATATATATTTATGCACCTCGCGTTCTCTAGTGGCATCTGACACAAAAAAACATTAGCTGCTGTACATTGATTTGACCTATTTGCAGGTTTTCGTTTTTTTTGTCCCATTTCTACATATCAAGTTCGCCACTCCTTCGATCCACGTGTCGCGATTGAGTTGTTGATTCACAACACTACGTTCTGGTCGCGTCCCGTTCAAGTTGCGTGAACGGCAACTCTTCGATGTATGTGTCACGATTGAGTTGCTCATTCACCACACAACGTTCTGTCGCGTCCCGTTCAAGTTGCGTGAACGGCAAGTCTTCGATGTAGGTGTCGCAATATCACTCGCAATCGCGGCAGACACAGATGGCTCTTGCTGTTTGAGGTAGCTCCCGACATGGATGGCCTTGGCTGAGCTTCCAACAAATTGATCTCAAACGATGGCCAAGCATTCATCGTTGTAGACATATCAATGTCCGTGATTGATGGATGCTAACACTGCCTCAATATCGATCTCATTTGAGGAGTTCTGTTGACTTGGGCGATGTAATTGTAAGCATGGTTTGCGAGCCCATGCTAACAATTTCGATGGATAACTCATCATGTCCCCCGAAGTACTAGCCATCGTTTGCGGGTGCCCGTTCAGCGAAGAGTCAACGGTTTCGCGTGGTGGCACAACTTGAACACAACACAATATATCACAATCCATCCCCAACCATCATGTCAAATAAAAAACTGTAATATCAGGTTTTTTTTCTTTGTATACTGGAAGTCCTTAGCTTTAAGAGATCACCATAAAGGATTTCATGCTCATAATCCATATTCATCCTTCTGACATCACCTATACCTTTCCTTGCGTACATACTTCCTTTCAATATTCTACCTTTTATTCATATTTTTATTTTTAGGAGTAATTTCCTTCCGTATCTTTGTCCCTGATGATTTTATGCTTTTTGTTTTCCTATTGCTAACGTCTTCCTATTACCCATATCTTCTATTTCTATATTCCGTTTAGCGACATGCATTATTTTATTTTAGGGGTAATTCACCCCTATTTATTTGTCCTGTGAGTATTACATCATTTTGTTATTAGAGGTAAAGTATCGGTTTTGCGGATGATACAGCTATTCTCTATGAAAGCAACCAGTGGCATACACTAAAACCACAATCGAACATGATTTCAAAACATTTATAAATTTCTTTTCGGAAAGAACTTGACAATTAATTACAACAAAAACACACGATATAGCATTTTCTTGTAACGACAGGGCTCTCACCGCGATTTAAAAAACTTGAAATTCATACAAGCGTGGTCTCAAAGAGATTCAGTCAGCCGATAAAATAAAATACTTAGGCGTGATTTTGGACAAACACTTAAAATGGGATACCCATAAGAGTACCTTGTGAAAGACTGAGATGTATTATTCCAAAATTCAGGTACTTCAGAGATATTCTAGATAAGAAATATCTATATATCTATATTATGCTCTTGTTTATCCTCTATTACTTTACACCACCCACATAGTTCCATAGAGCGGTTCCATCTACCACGAAGTGAGGGTGGCAGAGGAATACCTTGCATACTACACTACATTACCGCCAAGTGGACAATCTAGGCCAGTACTTCCTCCAAAAAGCCACATCGAGCAGAATGCATCAAGCAATAACACAGACGGATAAAAGTTGTCACCACTAAACCTTTCAGAAACATCTTTCAACCCTGAGGCAAAGATAATCCCAATGCAGGATCTGGTTCGCCAATGGACAGCCAAACCACTAAATGGTCGGTATAGGAGCCGCATAGAATACAACGCCATTGACACGAAGGCTTCCCAAGGATGGTTGCAGTCAGGTAATCTGTTCCTGGAGACGGAGGGCTTCATAGCCTCCATCCAGGATCAGGTAGTTCCAAACAAAGTTATACCGAAAGCGTATAATGCATGAGAACGTTGAAGATATCAGATGCCGCATATGTGGGAAAAAAGATGAGCACATAGATTCATATTGTAGCAGTCTGCTCTCCCTTAGCTCGTAAACAATATCTTGAAAGACGCAATGATGTGGCTAAAATACTTATCAAAGCTTTGGCTAAAAGCATCTAGGAGAAACTGGTACACAGCCCTACTATAAATACACGCCGCCACCTGTGATAGAACGGAGACCTCTAGGCTGTACTGGAACCGTAAAATCATAACTGACAGGCCCATCCCCAACAATATTCCTGACATAGTGCTCACACTAAAAAGAAGAAAGAACGACGTTTATAATAGACATAGCTGTGCCTCTTCCTAGTAATATCCAACCACCCATGCGGAAAAGATCAAAAAGTATTACCACTCTCCGACGAAATAAAACGCATGTGGAAATGGGCAATGTGTCTGTAATACCAGTTATCATAGGAGCTACTGGAGAGATACCAAGGAAACTACACAAGAGTCTGGAAAAGCTACAGCTCCATCCAAAAATATACTTGCAGTTGCAAAAAGCTGCACTGCTGGGAACATGTAGGACAGTACGTAGGGTTTTAGGAGATGAGAACCGGATACGGTGAAAAAACCGCTGCAGATCTATTTTCTTACTTTGGCGGTTAGCCTGAGGGAATATTAATACCTTCGACAGAGGAGAAAAAGATAAAATAATAATATATAATAATAACTATAATGATAATAATAATAATATAATATATAATAAAATCATCTTATAATAAAAAAATAATTAATAATAATAATATTAATAATAATAATAATAATAATAATAATCTATTATAATAATAAAATAATTATTATATTATAATAATAATAAAAATTATTATATATATTATTATATAAACAATATTTTATAATAATATAATAATAAAATAATATAATAATATAAAATAATAAATAATAATAATAATAATATATAATATAATAATAACAATAATAATAATATTATATATTATTATAATGGTAATTTTAATAATACTAATAATAATAATAATAATAATAATAATATATATAATAATATAATAATATAATAATAATAATATAATAATAATAATAATAATAATAATAATAATAATAATAATATATATAATAATAATATATTAATAATATATAATATATTAATAATAATAATGTAATAATATGGGTCTGGCCGGTAAGGGGACTGCCGCCAAGTTTCAAACCCGCTACCGTAACGACGTAGACGGTACAGCCAGCAGCGCAACGTCTGGCCTTAACCCAACAGTTAAGCTACTGATATTAACACCGAAGGATAGTCAGTACGGCCAGCACACCTTCCATTTATCCAGGCGTGGTTTTTGTCCCTTCCGCGCCTGAGTTTCAACATTTTTAGGTAAACAATTACACCTACTTATAAAAAGAGAACAAAATACCCAGAAATGGAGAAGGAACAAAATGAAGCCTCGGAATGTAACGACGTAATCGGGACTCGTCGCTATGCGACGAGGTCCGCGTCCGGCAGGGAGCGTAGGGGAAGGTCGCACCCGGTCGTCATCCAGCGAAATCCCCCCAACATCACCACATATACAAATACTTCACTGAATGACCTAACACAACACCACCAAGCGGTCAATGCTGGTAATAATGTTGCTGTGGACGCATCGCCCCAGCCCATGCTACCAGCCCATAGTAGTCGGCAGAGAACCACTTGGATGACAGAAATGAATGAGTACGTGGTTCGCTGTTACTATAGAATTACCAAATTGCAAACTTCACAGGAACCTTATGGTGCTGAATTGCATAAATTAGTGACAGAAAAATTTCCCCAGTTAAGACAAAAGACACTGCAGAACATCCTAGACCAGCGCAGATCTATATTTGTGAAGAGCAGATTGCCAGCGGAGAGAATAGATATAATTAGCATGAAGTAGCAACCGAATTGGG